TATAGCTTTGGAAAAACTGCAGAAAAGGGCAACTCGAATGATAAAAGGGTTGGAACACTTTCCCTATGAGGAAAGGTTAAAGCGCTTAGGGCTCTTTAGCTTGGAGAAACGACGACTGAGGGGTGACATGATTGAGGTTTATAAGATTATGCATGGGAAAGAGCAGGTAGAGAAAGAGGTAGTTTTCTCCCTTTCTCACAATACAAGAACTCGTGGGCACTCAATGAAATTGCTGAACGGTCGGGTTAGAACGGATAAAAGGAAGTACTTCTTCACCCAAACAGTGATTAACACATGGAATTCACTGCCACAGGAAGTGGTGGCAGCTACAATTATGGACGGCTTCAAAAGGGAACTAGATAAGCATATGGAGCAGAGGTCCATCAGTGGCTATTAACCACAAGGTATAGATAGGGGTTCTGGGGCAAGTGATGCTCTGTCTTCTTGGTGCTTGGGGGAGGGTGGTGGCTACAAGCATGGATGGCTTCAAAAGGGAATTAGTTAAGCATATGGAGCAGAGGTCCATCAGTGGCTATTAGCCACAAGGTATAGATAGGGGCTCTGGGGCAAGTGATGCTCTGTCTTCTTGATGCTTGGGGGGAGGGTCAACAGTGGGAGGGCTTCTAATGTCCTGGCCCCACTGGTGGACCTCCTGATGGCACTGGTATTTCTGGCCACTGTGTGATACAGAGTGTTGGACTGGATGGGCCTTTGGCCTGATCCAACATTGGCGTCAAGAAAAGAAGAAGAAAAGATCCATTTTCCCATAGTCCATGTACCCTGGAGGCTTCAGCCAGTGCATGCTGGTCTTCCAGCCATCCAAATGGAAACTCCATATAAACTGTCCAGGTTGCATAACTTTCACAGATTTTCTATTGATTCTCAACTCACTTTTATTATTGGGGTATCCCTAAGAAAAGACACCTGTTCAGCTTGAGCAGCTGCCATGCAGACCTGCCCTTAAAGAGACAAAATGCTGCGCCTCCACAATTGCTGAAAATGCTAGGTCATACAGTGTGCATGATATTAACTGTACTACCATAGAGGCCTGGGGCCATGGTGGCTCAGAGGTTAAAATGCTGAGCTGCAGACTGGAAGGTCTGTAGTTGGGCAATTTAAGACCCTAGTGCCACATGATGGAGTGAGCTCCTGTCTCTGGCCTCAGCTCCTGCCAACCTAGCTGTTCGAAAGCAAGAAATTGCAAGTAAGTACTGCTTTGGTGGGAAGCTAATAGTGTTCCGTGTGCCTCGGTGTTTAGTCATGTCAGCCACATGACCATGGAAATGTCTTCGGACAGGTCTGGCTCTTCAGCTTGGAAACGGAGATGAACACCGCCCACTACAGTTGGATTCAACTGGCTTTCAAGCAAGGGAAACCTTATCATAGAGGCACATGACAGAAGAGACTTCTTTGAACATGTCTCTATAATAACCTATGCTAAAATTTGCAAACCAAGTACACCAGGAAGAAACAGGATGAAGGGCAAGATGTGTGGGAATGTGAGTGCATCAAGAATGTGACCTTCAGATATATTATAAAGTGGAAAAACCAATGGAGGACTATACTGTCATGTCCCTTTTTAAAATGTTTTTGAAATCACTCTTAGTGGTCTAGAAGTAGAACTTGACCACTCTTCCTCTAGAGGAAAGTTCTACTTGGCCAAGGAGACCAAGGCAAGTATAGAAAGTCCAGCTCTTGTAAAGTAGAGTACGTTGGCACATCCCAACCAGGGCATGGAAACCCGGATAATTCTCACTGGCTGTATCACAGTAAGTTTCAACTCACTTTGTCACAGAAATGTGATAAGATCACAATCCTGGCACAGGATTAGAAAAAGAGAGCCTAAGAGGGCATAGGTCCCATTAACCTGTCTGCCAATCCAACACATTTCCCTTTCCTCTGTAAAATTTATCCGATAAACAACACCTATCTGGAAGAGCAGATGATAATTTCCATTTCCTTCCCCCCCCCTGCCTTTCTTCCTGACATTGCAACCTTTTCGTTCCCAATGCTTTTGAAGACAGGTGCCCAGATTCTCTTCAACAGATCAAACTTAAGTACCTCATTATCAAGAAAACCTGCAGCATATTTACTGTCAGGGCTAAAAGGAGTCAAAAGAGCCAGAGAGTATAGAGTTGAACAAACAGTAGCAGTGGCAAGGTCAGATGAACCTGTCATCCATGCCAGACTTTCAAGGATACAGGAGTTATAGATACCCTTTCTAACTTGACATGCTGTTCTGGTTCTGTTACATCACAAAAGAACTTGTTTTACACAACAATAATTTACTCTCAGCCCTGGCGGTGCTCACTGAGCCACTGTAAGACTGATCATGCCAAAGCATTAGGCTGCTAAACAAAAAACGAAAAAGGGACAGCTACATGAATTAGGCCCAATCTGCATCTAGCATTTGCTATGCTGTTATACCAAACCCACACTGGAACAGAAATTCCCGTCTACATTGCATGCCACTTTCACTTTGATTGTCATATTTTATGGTAGTGTTCAGACTGCATGCTGCTTGCACTTTGTTTGATCTCTGGTTTTATGGTGGCTGTCTGCATAGAATTATGGCAGTTTTATGGCCATTTAGGGGTGACTCTGCAGTCAGTATGGTGTTGGCCCTGGGTAGTTGAATGAGGTTTTGAACTGCATCTTCTTCTGTTCCAGTGTGGGTTTGGTAAAACAACTGAGCAAATGCTAAATGCAGATTGGGCCTTAGTCTACTCCACTACAATTCACTATGTGAATTCATTGGTAACGGACTGAAATGTCCTTGTGTGGACAACACTGTGTGTGTATGGGGTGTGTGTGTAGGAGTCACTGCATGGAATCAGGAAATTCCCGATTATTCCCTTCCAGCTGCAGGTATCATTATTAGGCCACTTTTTGGGGGGAGGGAGGAATCAGTGTTCTACTGTCTGTAGCCTTGATGTCCTCTTGCCCACATAGCTAATTCACAGGGCAAGGACAGCAGGCTGAGAGACAGGGCTGCCCCTTCTAGGTGGACATACCTGCACTCCCAGGGCTGTATTTTCATAGTCCAGCAAGCTGACTTTCAACCTTCAGAAAATAAGAAATCTTTTCTCAAGACGGGATACATCTCTCCATAAGAATCATTAGAAATTTTGAGCATCGTAATGTTGAGGCAACATGGCGGGAGATACCCACTCTATGGACATTTTTTTTTGCCCCTTTTGAAACACCAACCCCTGTGTTTTGCATCCTTTTTGCCAGAAGATGTTAAACTTTTAACACGGAGGGGAATGCTGGAGAGAAAAGGAATTATGCCTTTTGCCAAAGTAAACAGGTCATCATCACCACCTATTAATAATCCAGCCATGCCTAGTTGAATAGCTGGGGCAGAATGGGACTAGGGATGTGCACCTGAATGAAGAAGATTTGATTTTATACCCCACTTTTCCCTACCCTACGGAGTCTCAAAAGAGCTTAAGATTGCCTTCCCCTCCTCTCCCTATAACAGACACCGTTAGGTAGGTGGGGCTGAGAGTTCTGAGAGAACTGTGACTGACCCAAGGTCTCCCAGCAGGCTTCATGCTGCTCTTAACCACTACACCACACTGGCTCTCTACACCATGCTGGCAAATCCCAGTGAAAGTAATGCAATGATAATGGATGCACAGGATCCAATGAAACTGCAGTGCACCAAGATAGGATGTGTTGCACCACCACCCCACTCCACCCATTCAAAGTGAAGAAAATGGGAGGGTTTCATTTACCCTCATTGACATTCTCATGTAGCCAAACTGGACTGGTCACATGGTGCCGTGAAGTCATCATGTTTAAGTAACTGGTCAGGATCACACAACAAAGAACCCTGTCATCATTAAAAAAACAAAACAAAAACAAAACCAGACACAAACCCAAAACAGCAGCACATCTGAGAAACAAGAGCTATGTGAAGAGGAGAAAAAGGGAAGGAAGGAAGGAAGGAAGGAAGGAAGGAAGGAAGGAAGGAAGGAAGGAAGGAAGGAAGGAAGGACCCCCCCAAAAAAGAATCTGGTTAATTTTATTAATGGAAAAATCAAAATATGCATATTTTGCGTACAACACTGAGAGTATTATAAAATCCGCAGAATTAAAATGACCCACAAAAGTACCTCTTCTATGGAGCTTCATAAGTTCTAAGTATTGAAGCATGAGGCTTCTGAATATCATTTCTGCGAAGCCTATTTATAATTCTTTCCTCCAACAGGTTCCCTCCCTTGCAAGCTAACTCACAGACAACTGTGCGCCTTCCTCCAGTCCCTCTAAACAGCTGCAGAACAGAGTGCTGCGTCCTTCCAGTCTGGGCCTACGCTTTCAAAAGGCTTGCAGGATGTGCTGCTGTGCCTGCCCCTTTTTTCTTCTGATGCCTCCCTGGCTCTCTTGAGGCCCAAGTATGTCAATGAAAAAAGGGGACAGGGAAGGGAAACTGCTATTCTGATTTTATAAAGCTGTACAAATAATCCATTCAAACAGTACTCAATTATGGTGTTAGTTCTCAATGGCCTCAAATAGTAGCCTTCAGAGGCAGTATGGCATGATTCTATTTGAGCCTTGTGTTTTCAAGGCTGACCCATTAAGTTTGTGGGAGGATCAGGAAGTGAATCAACATGGATTTTTAGTCAACGGGAAGAAATATAGGATGGGGGTGGAAGGCAGCGCCGGCTGGAAAATAGTGGGTTCATCCTGTTTATTTCCAGGGAAGTTTTGTTTTGATGGAAATTTTCCCCTTCAGCTCTCATGAAACCTCAGACATACAGATTGCTGATCTCAGAATAGTTCCGTAGTGATTACATACCGTGTATTAAGAACAATCAGAATCTCCTTTTTATTTCATTAATACAAAAGTCCTATTTCAAGCCTTAGTAGTTATCACTTTCACATCCACATAAAAGACACAGTGGTAATACAAGATGGCATGAAACGGACCCTAGGAATCACAGTGTTATAATTTTCTGGAGCTCCAGGCTTAATTTAACTAGGAATACTAAGGGATAACATTTTTATATTTAAGTGGATGATTCAAGTGCCCAAACATATTTAAACACCACTGAAGAACTAAGCAGCAAACAAGATATTAAAATATATGCAGTCCCCCTCCCCCAGCAAATGTAGGTTCCCTGTCTTTAATCAAGCTTCTTTTGACAAGGTTCAGCAAATAGAAAACGGGGACAAAATATTTTGAGGAATGTCTACTGCAGCATGTCCCCTGGTGGTTGTAAAGGGAAGAGACACAGCTGAATGGCACAAGGCAATAGCAGCAGCAAAGACATAGCTCGGCGGCTTCTATGAGCAAGCAAATTCCACGTGGGTAGCATTTCCCCCCCCTTAATCAAGTGTATTTCCACTGAAGGAAGAGGGAACTGACAGTGTATCCAAGAAAAAAAAAATCCCCTTAAAGAATAGTGAAAGTAGAGAGCATGTAAAGAAGGCTCTCCGTATAAACCAATCTGGTGAATGGGGGGGATCCAGGGAATTCAATCAGATGCTACAGTTTACATGTCTTACATTCCAACAACAAGACCCCACCAGATTCTAAGGAACAGCAATCTTTTTCAAGCATAAAAATAGCCAACTAGCACCTTCGTTAACCAGCGCAAGCAGAAATTAGTAAAATTATTTTTTCATAGTTAACCCCCCCCCCCCTTCACAATACTGCTTTAGTTTAGGAACTGTTGGGTTCCCAGGCAGCTCAAGTTACCATAGAAAGAGCAGGGTTTTGGAAAAGACCCCATACTGCTTATAGCAGCTATTTTTCTTCTGGAGAAGTTCAGGCACCAGAAGTCACCCTCTTAATAGGAGAAATCAGAAGGAAGAAAATGTGCACAGGTGGAAAGTTTGACTCTCCCCTCCCACTTGCTTATACTGTACTTTAAATCTCTCCACCCACCAATATTTTATACACATTTAACACAAGCCTAGCTGTAAAGCTACTTGAGCTTTTTTTTGAGTGAGAGAGAGTATAGCAGAAATATTTCTACCAAATTTAGTCGTGTTTTAACTTAAAGCCACATTAATTATTTAGGTATAAAGATGCACTGTAATGCTGGAAATTAAATCACAGCAAGCATATAGCAGCCAGAAAATATGTGCTTGGCAGGAGTGAAATCTGGTTTGCTGCCATTCTAGCAGATTGGAACATAGAAAGAAACTAGTGCAGTAGCTCACACTTCAGGCGATTAATACTGAAGGGCTGGCACCAGATACAGCCAATTACCTGTTGCCATCAGCATACAACAGAACAGCTCCTGTAGGTTTTGGAAGACCAGCTTTATGAAAAACTGCACTCCCCTCCTCTTAAGAGAACAGTTTAAGGGTCTTTTGTACACTTTGCTGTTCTGCATGGTAAGTATTAAGATTCTCAGGGCTGCGGTGGCTGCAAGGTACAACACAGCATGGAGCTTAATGCTTTTGTTTCAGTCTGAAATGATTTGTTCTACTTTTAGTTTTTAATACGTTTCATAATAGTATGCAGTGCAATGCTCCAGTGTCGTTTCTTTAAATCTGTATGTAAGTCATCATTCCTAATAACTCAGTTCCAGAACAGAGAATAACGTGGAACACAGCTTCTTTGAATATTTTCAGTCCCTCACAAAACCCACAAGCCTTCCCACTTGTTCTTACAGCTCGTGAAAATTCACATGAGGCTCTGGAGACAGGTCAATATCAGAATTTTGAATCAGCTGGAAGAGAAACTCCACTTGCTTTTCAAAACTTTCAACAGAGATCCTTTCATTCAACCCGTGGAACCTGATTTTAAAAACAACAACACAAGATGCTGTTTTCATTCCTGTGTGCATCAGCCACCTATGTTAGCACAGGAACACTGCAAGCTTCACCATACCTAGCTACCTGACCAGGACAGAAAGGCCAGCATCAGCTATATTTAAGCACAGTGAACTTTCTTTATTAGTTTGCACTTATATCCCTCTCTCCTCTGTCAAGGATTTCAAAGCAGTAGGCACAAGGTTCACAGGAGGTCTGGCAAACAGGCACTAAACAGACCCAGACCTGCTATGCTTCAGCAGCTTGCTGTAATCTGTGCTCTACAACTGGAGCCCCAGTGCCCAAGTTTCAACAAATCTGCGGCTGCAAAGTGTGGCCTGTTTTGAGTTGGCTTGTGAAAAATCAGGACCAGGCATTACATTTGCTCTCCCCCTGAAATTCTAAAGAGCATGTCCAAAAAAGCTAACAAAAACAATTTGGAATTAAAATATAATCAGTTAAAATGACCGAAACACAAAGCACCAAACATCTTCCGAAAGGCATTTATCCCATTCCTCCATCAAAGACAGACTTAAAAACAAAGCCTTTTTCACTTGCCACATAAAGACAGGAGAAAGAGGGCCAGGTGGACTTCTCTGAGGAGAGTATACTGAAGACTAAGTGCTACTACAAGTAGGGCCCCATCTCTGGTCACCACTGACTTTCTTCTGTTCTTTATTTTGAGGAAGGGTGGGGCAGGTAGTCCCAGGTTCCAGTACCCTCCAGAAAACTACAATTTCCATGCCTCTTTGGGAGAAGCCACTACCCATGACAGAAGTCAGAGTCAAACAGGATTTAAATCAGTTGGTATTTGAAGTGTAGATATGCCTTAAAACACTTTCATGTTTATATATGTACACAACAAGCACTTTAATAAAAAGGTGGTAACAATGATAACTATATCCTAACCAAACTCAAACTAAATGCATAAAAGAATGAACTAAATTATTGATTTATTCCCCCCAAAAAGAAGAAAAAAATATTCTTTTCTTTGGGAACCTAATCCCTAATGGTGGCTGGACAACATTGTGTATCAGTCCAAGGAACATTACAACACAGTGGCATCCTACACAGAATTACACTCTTCTAAGACCATGGAGTTCAATGGACTTAGACAGGTATAACTCTGCTCAGGATCGCACTGCAAGAGTTCCAGTTCAAACCTAGAAGAGATGCCTCAACTCCAGTTTGCCTTTTAAAAAGACAAATACGGGATCATGCTCTCCTGGTGGTATCTTGGGATAGTGGGGCAATGTTCCGGACACAGTCCAATACTTTAAGGCAAATACAGCTTTCTGTATTGATCTCAATGGTTATGTCTTGTCCTGCTTTCCTAACAAATCCCTCATACTTTTCATTAGGTGTTTCCACCAAAAAGAATAAACAGAATGTAGTACCTTGCCATATCATCAGGTTTAAAGACCACTGGGTTAAATCGATAAATGGCATTTGTGAGGTTGGTGAAATGCCTGCTGTCAGTGTTTCCAATACAAATGCCTGGAGAAGGAATCATCAGCAAAGAGATTAATAAATAATATTCCAGCCAATCCTGTAGCTTGGCACCAGTTTCCTCACATGCTTTCAAACATTCTTTTACCTACTTAAGCAATATAAGGAAATTTAACATCTACAAAAAAGGTTGTGCCCATCTTCTTGTTTAAGAGGTAAGGCTTATCCAGTAAGCCATCTTGAACCAGACTGGAACACTCTGCAAGAAAGTAGTTTGAAAGTGGAACAGTCCAATGTTACAGGGGAGTCTAACTGAATGAAATAAACAGCCTTTCCTTCACAAATTCCTAAAAGACTGCATGTATGAACTGAGAAATTCAACTCAAGCTTTACTCTTTGTGTTAGTTTCCTGTTGGCTTTTTTGTTTGTTCTAGCACCATTAAAAATGGCAAAAGATCTTACGTCAGAAAGATGGAACAGAAGAGGGGAAAGGCATTTGTTTCCCATCATGAATATCATGTGTGTACAGGGGAGGGGTGCCAGGAACACAGTAAGTAGGGACTGATGAATGGAAACAGAAGAGGAAAACAATGATCATATGTTTGCCACTACCTGGAGCCATGCTGCCAACATCTGGGAAAACATCCAGAAGGGTCTGGCGGAAAACCCGCAGTCCGAAGGTCTGGTTGTCCCAAGGGCTAACCGGGAGCGGATCAAAGGCACTCTCTGCTTCTATCTTCACTCTCTTATCATCAATCGTTTTCTCTACTATTTCCAGGACCTAAGAACACACCCCAAAGTACAAATAAATGAAAGCAGCAAGGTGGTTTCCATTACGGGTATTAGCAAATATTCTGGACTGTGCGTCAATTTTGCATGCAAATCAATTTCCAGTTACAGTTCTCCAAATAACGATGCACAGCCAGGCAGGCAACCTTCAGGGGCCTCCCTTTGGAAGTCTGCCTTCCCATTACACTGTGGCCTGGTAGGGTGACCGATCAAAGTTCTTTCTAGGCAATCAATTCTGGGTCATTGCCTCAAAACATCTCCCTTTAGAAACTCTTCAGATATGGCCATGTTCCCAATAGGGTTCTACAAACATCTCAGAGCAGTATCCAAATTTGGCTTTGCTGTCATACCTTCTAATAGTAAACGGGACAGCCTCATGACAATAACCAAAGCAGCACAATGGGGCCAGCAACCAGACAGAGGTGGAGGAATAGCTGGATGAACTTTCAGATAGGCAGAAAAATCTGACTTCTCTCTTCACCAGAAAATGGCTGACCCAAAAGCAAGCTGCTGTTTGTACACTCCCATTCAGCCTGAAGACAAATTGCCTATAATGCTCCTATTGGGGGATGAAAGAGGGAAGTGAGGGGCAGGCGGCTTATGCAGGGCCGGCTCACTCACTAGGCGAACTAGGCAGTCGCCTAGAGTGGGACGGCTCTTAGGGGCACCAAACTGCACCTGGCCCTGTACTCTGGGAGTTTCTTGATTATTTGTCTTTTTCATTCTTTCTAAAATACATTTATTTTTGAAAATTGGTGGGCGCACGGGGGGCGGGGGGCAGAAGGGATCCTCGCCTAGGGTGCAAAATAAGCTGGAGCCAGCCCTGGGCTTATGGTTGCCAGCTCTGGGGTGGGAAATACCAGGAGATTTAGGGGGTGGAGCCTGAAGAGGGCAGGGTTTGGGGAGGGGAGGGACTTCAATGAGGTATAATGCCAGAGGCCAACTTCCAAAGCCATCATTTTCTCCAGGTGAACTGATCTCTTTTGTCTGGAGTTCAGTTGTAATCCCAGGAGAAACCCCCCCCCCCCACCGTCACCACATGGAGGTTAGCAACCACACAAAAATGGAAACACAGCAAATACAGTTGGGCAAACAAATAACCAGAATACTCTGTCACGCTGTACAAATCACACTCAAGACTTCTGTCTTCTTATGAACTATAAACAATACACATAACAAATGACTTTGCCACCATGTTTTCTATTGGAAACTCGTCCACTGCATGTTTTCTATTGGAAACTGTCTTGAGGCCATGCTGTCCACTGCATGTTTTCTATTGGAAACGCTACTCTGCATCATGAGTCAGTGACTGCAGCACGCTAAAGAGAGACACTTTCAAGGACTATCAGGTCACTATTCAACTGGTACAGATGTCATTTATGCATTGTGGCAAAACCATTTGTTATGTGTATTGTTTATAGTTGTACGTAGAACTGTAAGAAGATGGAAGTCTCGAGTGTGATTTGTTCAGCCTGACAGATTATTCTGGTTCTTTGACCACCTGGAGGTTGGCAACCCTATGCTTGCCTCTTCCCATGCGCCTCAACAGGATCACTACAGGCAAAGCCCTAAACACACGAAAAATCAGAGCTTTGGGAATCCAGGCTTCAGTGTTTAGTTCACGGGTTCTATGGCCTTTTGTCTCTAAAGCCTTTGTTGGGGGGGGGCATGGGGGCAGGTGAGGGACAAGCTACCCACCTCCCCCCTGGATAAAAAAAAATACTATATACAAACAGTGCTTTAAAACCTGTTAAGCTGAGGACTGGGGTATCCCGCCCCATCACACCAGATCTTAAAGGTACATTTCTATAGGGGGTGTTGACTGGGATGTAGGGCCTGTTGCTGAAGAGAAAACTCCTTACCCATGACCCTGCCACAAATAACAGCACTTTAGGGACATGTTCCTTTAAGAATGTTAGGCTTAGTATCTGGGCTTCTGGCCAGTGCAATCGTTGCCTGTTAAGGAAATTAAAAGCCCAGGAGCTTCTCCTAGGAATGCCATCCCCACCTGGCTTGGGGGGGGTGGGTTTGAAACTGGCAGGAACCCCATGAATGCATTCCGTCCACTTGTGCAAGACCTAAACCACGGTGTTGGCAGAGGGTCCTTAGCATCTCAAACACTGGTGTTAAATACCTTTAGAATCCAGATTAGCTGTCAATCAAGAAATCGGATGAACCTGACAAAATCCAGACCCCTCCCTTTTATGACCAGAAGACTCTGACCAGAGTCCTTGTATTACTAGGTTAAAAACGCCCTCCCTGTCAAGGCAGGAGCTTGGAGCCACAGGTCCTCATATCTAGATGTTTTGGCTTCGAGGCTGGAACTCGAAAACATAAGCGGTTCTTTTACAGCAGAGTGCAGGGTGCACTGTCAGGCTGAAGAGCCTCCTGCGAAGCCTTTTGGGAGAGAACCAAACAGAGAGGCCCCGTCTCACTTATAATTCTGCCACACTGCCCCTCATCCTCTATTTAGTATCCTTAAAGGAACAAGGAGATAAGCTCCTCATCTCTCTTTACTCATTCCCAATCAGCCCTGGATTCTAGATCACAGTTGCAGTGAAGTAAACTGAAACCCCACCATAGGTGTGCCAATGAGAAAACCACAGAGTCTCTCTCTCTCTTGACTTATGGCGACTCCCTGTGGGGTTTTCAAGGCAAGAGATGTTCAGAGGTGGCTTGCCACTGCCTGCCTCTGTGTCCTGACCCTGGTACTCTTCGGTGATATCCATCCAAATACAGACCAGAACCAACCCTGCTTAACTTCCAAGATCCAGATGAGAGTCTCTGTGTTCTACTTCAGACCATACAGAGACCAAGCTCAGCAGCACTATTAGACAGAGGAGTCTGGACTGGTCGTGACTTCAGCCTGTCCTCCTTGCTATTGAACAGAACAGGAGCTCAAGTTCCCTGGTTCCAATTGTCCAGTATGATCTTGCTCCTTGCTCCAGTATCTCCATTCCAGTCCCTTGCTCTGCTGCCTCTGCCTGGGCCCCATATTTCCAGACAGCACCCTGTTTCAGTGTAGCTGCCAGACTGGCATGGCCTGTAATGCTTCAACCTTAGCATTTGTTACACTCCATCACACAGTCATAGTACCTCAGCAACTGTTTGTGCAGGATGGATTCGAAAATTCACGGTTGCAGTTGCAGATGGTGGAATAACATTAGACTACAGAAGAAGAAGAAGAAGAAAACAAAGAAGTGTAAACATGCAGGATAGTGTACACATAATTCCAGAAGATGACATATCACAGACCCAAAGACTGTATGTTGAGAAAGTAGCTCCCAAACAAGGACTCACAGGTAGGTCAATTTCCAAAGCCAAGCAGGATTCTTCACCTAACCTGTGGCATCCTATTAAATCAACTTTGTGTCTATTATTTAGGCGGGAGGTGATCACACTTGCCCTTCTCTGCCGATGTGCCAAGAGTCTTCTCTCTTCCCTGTATCATTATTCCAGCAGTGAATGTAACTCTGCTCTTCCCTGTCCAGTAAGGGAGGGATCAGACAAGTGCACTGGTTGCAAAGGTGATCAGACTGAGCAGGGTGAAGGCACAGTTCACTTCTCCCCGAAAGACTCAAGTTTCATTTGCACTCATCTAAGCCATGTCCACATGCTGGACAGTTGAGAGCCACAGGCACACACAGTTGGCTTCTCTCTTCTTCTGGCAGGGAGGCTTGTGTCCACCTTCAAGCTACTAAAAGTGGGAGATGGCAGCTTCTCGTGCCTCATTTCAGAATCAGGCAACGTGAAACCCAACTAATTTCCCCCCCTTCCAGACTCAAAGGCTGATAGCACAGCATCTGCCCTTTGTGTTAGATTTACCGGTATGGTACAGCCAGGAATCTCTATACATAGCAGAGTGCACTAGACTATATGCGGCAGTAGCTTCTGAGTACAGTGTGTGCTAGCAAACTTACTGAGTTACACAGAGCCACTTATCAGTTTCAAAGAAATCTTTATTCAAGGAACAACATTCTAGATAGTGCAGGTTGAGAGATAGATTAGATTCTATCACTAACTAGCTAGATGGATGCGGATGGAGAATGCCCGTCCTGCATCCATGGTGACAAAGATGGAGAGTGTGTCCTCCTTCTTTGTGTGTATGAGAGAGAAGATGTCAAGCCAGAAGGAAGGAAGTCTCATCCCTAAGAAAAGCATTCTACTTCAAAGGGATAGTATCAGATAGCAGGAAGGAAAGGATGCTCTGTGTTCCTGACCTCTCTGTCTGTCTCTAAATCTATTGTGCTGTCTCTGCAGGCTGAGGAAGAGAGAGCATACACACCTCCATTGCCAACACTTTGAATGCTGGCCAGGGGAGTGGTACTAAAATATTGTTATATCAGGTTATTGTTATATAACCGGTTCTCTGAATCCCCAGCTTTCATTTAAACAAGTACGTCTCTGTGGTGGAGATATGCCTTTCCCTTTATATCTTCTCAAAGGAAGAGGCTAAAGGCTTACTTTTTTAGAAAATGAAAGCTGGGAATTCAGAGAACCTGTTACACATATTGTTACAATGGTATATCAATATAACACTGATCTCATGTCAAGTTTTTTAAAAATAAAAACCTCCTCTGAGGCAGGAGGGAATGGATGCTGTGGGTCAGTGTCACAGAAAATGGCTGCCATGCGGGTGAGAAAATTTGAATTTTCCCATCCACACAGTAGCCATCCAAGACTTTACTGCAATCTTTGCCAAAACGTCAAAACAAAGCAACTTTGAGAAAGATTAGAGAAAGAAGATGAAGGCACCGCAATGCCGTGGGGAAACAAGGGGGAAAAACCCTGCTTCCCAACAGCGTTGAACCCAGAGCAGATAACCTATGTGGAAATGGCCTATGTCTTTAAATGGAAAGCTGCCTCAGATCATGTGTAGCAGGTACATTTTAAAGAGCAAAAGGGGTATGCAGGTGGACATATGTCTGCTCCCTCTCCCATAGACCTCTCCTCAGAGATAATTTCCCTTCATCCAGGCCCTGATACCACAAGCAACCCCAGCCAGAAAAGCAGCTGGAGGAGCAGAATACAACACACTCTGCCCACAAGCCCTCTTTGCAATTCAGACCACACACATCATTTCTACATATGTGTAAGATTCTGACATCCACTCCATTTCTTGGAAGTGTTCCAGAATACCTGAATATGGAGCAGCTCCAACCAGGTTTTGTTTATGGCTCTCTCTCTCACCCTGTAGGATCTAGGCAAACTGCAGAGAAATCGGGGGTGGGGACACACACACACAGACACACACACACACACACTATTTTCTTTATTCACGCTAATTTGTTCTGAATAAACCCACAGTGTTATGTGAAAAGATCCTTCTCATATTCCTGTGTGCATGAAGCTTCTCACAATAGGATTCAATGCTGGTCTGCCCCAGTCATGCATGGTTCGGGCTTTAAACAAAATTACAGAAATAACGTGTTATTTCCCTTTATTCATGCTAATTTGTTCTGAATAAAACCACAGTGTTATGTGAAAAGATCCTTCTCATATTCCTGTGTGCATGAAGCTTCTCACAATAGGATTCAATGCTGGTCTGCCCCAGTCATGCATGGTTCGGGCTTTAAACAAAATTACAGAAATAACATGTTATTTCCCTTTCAACCACTGGGTGTCACCGTTTAACTATCACACCTCTGTGTCCAAGTCAAGGATGAGATTTGGAATAAAAGTGTCTTTGGTAATCTATTTTCAGAAAGTCTATTAATTAATCAAACCAACAAACAACTGTCATCTAGAAACTGTTCAGGCAAGTTCTGGCCCTCTGAGTTTTAATTTTGTTACTAGATAGATTTTTACCCTCCGTCCCTTCCAGAATATATAAAAACAATATAAATTAGCAACACATACACGTTGGCAGGAAGACATTTCAGTGTCCTCCTCTCAATGACCATTGTTCACATACTACATTTTCAGATATACAACTAAAAAATCCTAAGTGTGACTGCGATAAACAGTTGTTTGAAAACGTGTATTGTGCAGAAATTCTGACAGGGAGCTGAGAAAGGTTGCAGTGCCCTGAAGAGTGTGCTAGTTAGTGCAAATGTGGGTTTCTTGATGTGTAATGAACGAAATGGCCCTTCCTTCTACTTGCAGAAGAGATTACCTATTCTGTTTTCTAATCATGACAAAACTGTGATTATGTTCACAAAACCATTCCATTACATGGAATGATAACTCAAATTAACTCTCAAATAAAGGCTTCTAATCTCATCAGCAGTTTTCTGCCCCAGCAGTTCTATCAATTAAGCCATTCTTAACCTTTGTCCTGGATGACCAGGGTGCTGGCAACCACAAGTCAGTTGTCTCAGGGCAAGAACTGAGTTTACATTCTATGCTCAAGCAAGGAGAACAGCAATGAATCTACCACACACAGCCTGGGGAGAGAATTCCTTAAGATATAACAAAGAGGGATATAAACTGCTATGTACCAAAAGTGGTAGTTAAGGATGTCGGGTTTGCAATTCTTACACTATATTAAAAAATCCACGAAAATTCATGTCACAGTACCTTGACTCCTGCACGAAACATGGTGATGGCAGTGGTGGTCCGAACCATGGCATTAGTGGTAGGTGTTTGCTCAAGAACTCTGCGTAAAGATTTAGAAAGCATTTAAATGCCTGAGACAGACACAAAATTCTAACAGATCAGAATTAAACAAAGACCCCTGTGTTCCACAAAAAAGTAATTTGTTTAAATAATAAACATGCACATTTCTTGTTGGTTGTGCAGTCAATACGTCTGGGGTGGTGGTGGTGGTGGTGGGGGAAGAGATACTGGCTTTCCCCCCAACAATGAAACTACAGCATTTTGTACTTGGGGAAATACTATAGCCTCTACCCTCAACCCCCGCCCCTCGGCAGTGCAATTCTTTCTTACCTGCTGACAAGTGGTCCAAACAGCCACAGATTTGCCATGATGATGTTGAGAGGGAAGCTGAACTGAACAGCATGAGGAGAGAACACAAACACACATCAGGCAACTTGGTTCCAGATTCATATTTCTAGATTTCCTGCACTGCAATGTTAGCAATTCAAAAGAAGAATTGCTGAAGAGATCCCATAAGTGCAACTGCTAGGAAGTCTTATATTGTGCATGATCCAGACCAAGCTCTCCATGTACAGAAAGGAAGCAAATAGGTAAATGAGGTCAGCAGGAGAGAACTGCCTACACAAGGTGCAGTGTACCAGGGAAAAGGTAATTCACAGGGGATTTTCCCTGTAAATTCTGCAGGAATCAGCTGTTAAGCAACACACGCTAGGATATAAGACTCTGCTCATACCTTTCAACACCTTCCTAGAGGTAAGTCCCACTGACTAAAGCATGACTTACTTCTGGGTGTGCCTGTGAAGGATTGTTCTCTGAGAATGTTAAATATTGATCATTTCATACTCAGTTAACAGAGAATACAAGAGAGAACACATCCTGTTCAGTACTTACCTCGGGGGCCAATTGTTCAAACATCATGATTTCAGGGCCCTTACCAAACAAATTCGGCATGGGTTGCTGCTCCAGCCTATAATAACAAAACACAAAGGAGTGGGGAAAAAGGAATAAAAATTGTATTCCTTAAATTCAGCAACTATGCACTCATACACAGGAGGGAAAACAGAAAGCTAGTAGACAGAAACATGCCTGATGCCAGTGTGGCAAAGCGGCTGCAGTGCCAGACTATAGGATCTGAATCCCTGCTCTGCCACAGAAGCTCACTAGGTAGCTTCGGACGAGCCACACATTCTCAGCCTAACCCATCTCACAGGGTTGCTACAAGGGTAAAAATGAAGGAGGGGAGCAAACAATGTGCCCTCTTGAGCTCCTTTGAGGAGGAGCAGGATGAATATGTACTAAATGAATACTAAATACTAAATAAAAGCTGCCATCAAACTATCAAAACCATCTACATCATGCAAGGACAAAGAAGTTTGCAAAGTAGGGAGATTTAACTTACATATTACCTGCACAGTGGCTGTTCTATGGCAGCAAAACACTGCATTTGTGGGTGTGAATTACTTGCCCCCAGCAAAACAATTCTGCAGTGAATGGGATCAAGAGAGAGCTGTTCTGACAAAGGCACTCCATAACTGCTGACCTGGTCAATGTTTAAAGAGAACTGTACCACATCTATGAATTGATTTAACTTTATTAACAAACATGCATTCAGTTAGTGACATACAGAAACCAAGGGTAACATTACCTAGGCCTCACAGGACTGCGATTTAGTTATGCAGAAGAGGGTCACTTGTTCCCCCCCCCCCCAATGCCTCCATTCTCCCCTATGAACTGGTTCTCTGCCTCTCCACATACAGACCTACACTCTTCCCCCCCCCCATCTTTTATTCCTCCTCTATTACTGTTCACATTCCCTGGCCATTTTGCTCTTTGCCTTCAAGCACATCCATAGTTACGCCTGATTCTTAAAAGGCCTTCCTTCCCATCCCACTCTCGTCTTCTCATCTCCTCCAAACACCTTGAATGTTTCACTGTCTTCACTTTGGGTCATGCCTCTTCTTGACCCTCTTCGGCGTGGCTTCTTAGCTGCACAACTCCTCTGAAATTACATTTATTGAGGCATCTGATGACCTCCTTCATGCAAAACCGAAGGGCCTCTTCTGTGCCACTCTCATGCCTCCTGGTGTATCTATTGCTTTTAATCAGGCAGCTTTTCTCTCTTACTAAGGCTTCCAGCCTGCTATCTTAATGTCTCCTTTTCCTTGGGATACTTGGATTTCGCTCATATTCTCACTCTCTGTCTTGGTGCTCTCACAGTATTTAAATATTTTAAAATGCACACCATACTTTTTTCTTGTAGTGCTAACCAGGGGTCATTGCCTGCAGGAGTGCACAGGAGTGGAGCTCCGGCAGTAAAGAGCCCAGGGGGCGGGCACATGCAACCAGCCCCACCCCCTGCTCCCAGCAGCCCTCAGTCAGAGCAAGAAGCAGCCAGGTAAGTTGCAGAGCCCCCTCCCGGCCCCCCGGTCCAAAACAGTCCAGTGGCACCTTTAAGACCAAGTTTTATTCAGGTACAAGCTCTCCCTCCTCTGTGAGGACAGATCTGCACGTTCCCCCCCCCCCAATAGCTAGCAATCCAAAACAGTCCACTGGAGCCTGAGCGGTGAGTGTTGCCGTCTGACACACTTCCAGTGATGTCAGGGTGTGTGGCATATGCAAATAAGTTATGCTAATGAATTATGCTAATGAGCTCCTGCACCTCTTTTTCTATGAAATGACCCCTGGTGCTAACATTTAAACATTTAGAGAGAAACATGTCAATACATGTAATAAATAAAATGACTGAACAAAACTGCATTTAGTGAGGCTCTGGATCCTTAGCAGGATACAAAGAACATAGGTAACCACACCTGTTCACAGCAAAATCCAAAACTAAAAGCCATGTATTATCCCTTTTGGTGAGACCAACCAAAGTAATACAACACAGTGAGTTCTCCAAAACTCTTCATCAGTCAGGAGTCAGAAATTTAAAAAAGAGGGGGTGGTGGGATTCTCAGGCCATGATATTATGGCCCCTTGTTTGCATCCTGCATAGAATGCTCTGCCTACTTCAGTGGGCACAGACAGAGCTAGTATCATGCTGCACCCTTAGCCTCCAGGCAACCTCTCACCTGGATAGTGCTTCAGAGAGAATACCAATACTCGTCCTCTTAGGTGGTGCAGAAGAATGGCCTGGCACCATCGTCACACTGAGATCTGCTGTAATTGCACCCTTTTCTGTGACAGCTATTCTGATGAATAAAAGAAACCAAAACAACTCCATCAGTGAGATTCCAGATGCAACAAAGTAGAGCTTTCCACTATTCTCTAGTTGGACAAAAATGATTGTTCTGGTGGATTCTTTTTTAAAAGGCAAAATAATAAAATGCTACAAGTCAGCAATAAAGCAATAGAAGCCAGGCCGAACAACAGATTGTTCTTATGGTGCTGGGGTCAAAATCGCAAGCCTGTTGTATGGTACAGCAGAACACTGTGCTAATGCACCTCCAGGTTCTCCAGACCTAGAAAACCAAAGCAATTCCCGAGGCCTAATGACTACACAGCCCAGCTACCAAGCTCCTTTCAGGGATAAGGCTATGCCTTGCATGACTGTGGTGGTAAAGCCAAACCAGGAGCTAGAGGTTTGTAGGGGGGTGTTGCAACAAGCTGGCCGGGCATTCATATCCCTGAGGTTAATCAGGTTGTTTCCCAGAAGGAATATGAGCTACAGCACACATTTTAGGACTCCAGAGCAAGGGTCAGCAACCTTTTTATAATTAAAGAGCCAAACAGTGTCAAAATTCAGAGCCAAATACCAACTAAGAGCCAATATACAGAGGAATATATACAGTTTAACATAGTTGAAAATTAGTTGAAATGTTGGTTAATAAGCCATAACTTCTCTGCAGCCCAAACAGTAGTTGTTGCAGGTCTTTTAGTAGGAAGTAGCACACATGAGGTCTCACAATAACTAATAAATATGCACAGGAGCATCCCGCATCATTTTTAGCGCACTGTCATAAATCTGTACATGGTTTGTACCTGGATTACTGGCAACTGCTCACCCCTCTAAGGAACCTTTTATTTCCATGAAAATCTTTTGTCCATCATTCCCTTTACAAAATATTAGGTTGCCCACTGCTTGGAGGGGGGAAATGTCCCATCCCTTTAGCAGATGTTATTTACCAGATTATATTATTTACTTGCCTGCCATTACAGGCTTCAGCTGTCCATGACCATGCACTAAAGGTAAAGGTTCCCTTGCTCGAAAGCCAGTTGAATCCGACTCTAGGGTTGCGGTGCTCATCTCCGTTTCAAAGCCGAAGAGCCAGCACTGTCCGAAGATGTTTCTGTGGTCATGTGGCCGGCATGACTAAACACCAAGGCGCATGGAACGCTGTTACCTACCCACTGAAGTGGTACCTATTTATCTACTTGCAATTTCTTGCTTTCGAACTGCTAGGTTTAGTCTTCTCATCTATCCCTAGAATATATCTTAATGGGGGTGGGAGGGTCAGTGGTGATGGTGCCAGATACTACCCCCCTTCTTTGATGCCAAACCTGGTGCCTACCAAGTGCAATGGAGCCACACACATGCCCTTTATAGATGTACTTACCAGCCAGCTGATTAACAACACCTGGCTCTTTAACAGCCAGTGATCTAACTATCAACTGTCAGGCAGCAAAGCCCTCTGGGAAGAAAAG